ACTAAAGAAATGAGTTGAGAAACCTGATCAGGCACGCTAAACATTCTTGTGCTCGTCGGACTTATAGGAATCAATGTACCGCCATATGTAGCACAATAATTATATTCTCAATACTAAACAAACGAGTTTACAAGTGCCCAGCACTTCTCCGAGTAGTCTTTACAACGCTGAATACATTCTAAACATTAAAAACATTTATGACAACAGATCACAAATGAAAAGAGTAAACTGGAAAAAGCTGTCGAAAAGAACTTTGTAAGACGAAAACCTTGACCCTCGGACATCCTATTCAGATGTCCTTATTATTCCACACTCGTATAACCATTAAGCAGCTGCAACATTGAAAGCACAAACGAGAGTGGCCACAGACAAAACCTAAGCCGCCATAAATAAAGTGAGGCGAACAGAGTCCGCTAATGAATTACGATGGCGAGGCTCATAATAGCGGGCGCTGCGCTGTCGCCTGCGCCCGCGCCGTAAGCTGCATCTCCGCCAACAAAGAACACCGGACTCGTGCGAATAGTTCACGCTCTACCTCTTGCATCACTGTAATAGACGAGTGACTCGGAGTCAACGACACCCGCCGCCGAGTCATCGCCGTCCCCGCTGAACTTGAACCTGCGGCCCAACTGCACGCGAAACAAAAACAATGCGACGTAAGAGGTATTCCATTAAATTGATACATCAGAGGAGCAAAGTATTGATCCAAGGACGCCCGGTTCCGGCGATTATGTAAATATTGCACTCCGAGCCATGTACGATGCTCGCCAGATCTGGCTCCCAATTTTTGTGTTTTTATTTCCTTCAATACTTACAAACAAACTAGTAATAAAAATATGTTTCATTATGCCGCTCTTAATAGTGAATATATTTAATTCAAACAAATTAAAACTGCTAGAAACGAATTAACCAGTACTAATTCAAAAACACTTCTGAAACTTTTTTCAAACTATCTCTGAAAATGATAACTCTATTATCAGAGATTTTCAATTTGCTGTATAATTCGATTATTCGTTTCTTTGAAATCAACAAATGACTATCTATTTGATGTGTTATCTAAGCTATGAAAACATAACATGAGGANCATGAGGGTTTGCAACACGTCTATATGTATATCACGAAATAAATTCCTAAAACAGCGAAGCGGCGAAAGTATTGGAAATATAAAAAGCTTGACCCGCTTCCGCGCCCGCGCCCGCTTCCGCCCTCGCGTGCCATTTGTTTGTTTACCCGTCATTGTCGCCGCGCACCGCACGACCACGACCGCTCACACCGTGAAATTAACTTTTAATCCTCTCCACAAAAAAAAATATCGCTAAACTCTTTTTTTTTCCAAAAAGCCGTCTCTAAAAGTAACTAAGAATGTAAGAATGCCGCGTAGTTGGTGCAGAAAATCACACTTCGTAATCGTAGGTGCATAACTGTTAAATGAGGCGCACATAAACGGGAAGACATAAAGTGCTTCTTACCATACCATATTATAACATTTTCGTAATAACTGCCATTTTACTATTACAGAGTTACTTTGGCTGAGTCACTAATGTTGTTCCCATTTGTCTCCAGCGACTCACGGTTAAATCTGCCATGAAAATGTTACGCGGTTACGCCGCCATCCCGCGATCGTAATTTACCTGCTACCTTCTAATTACAAAGATCCTAGACGTAGTAACTTGTCAAAGCATCAGCATCTGTTTTACGAGTTTAGTCCCTTTACATACTCGGAGAAATTAAAGCTGAATAGTGGAAGAAATTAAAATGTCCTCGCTTTAATGCCTCAACTGTTCAGTGGAAAACGGTGGCAGCATTCCTACCTCAAGCAAGACAGCCGCGGAGACGAGGCTCGTGTCATTGAACCGGCCCATGGCGAACTGCCCCGCATCTGCCGGCGCCTACTAAACAGTCAATTAAAGCACCTTACCCCGTTACCTCAGCTACCATAACGTTAAAACGCCAGCTTTTCCAGTACTCTATAAAAACACCCTTTCAATATGGCAACGAAAGCGACATTAAGACTTAATAAACTGCAAATACGCACATACGAACCACGTTTTAAGTACAACCGACTGCCATTCCAGGCGCATGATTCAGCAACGCTATAAATACAACCTAGGCACGTGTGTTAATTCCAAAGGACGATATTTAATAAAGACAGGCACGTCATGTTATTGTCGCGGTGGCACCGGATAAGCTCGGCGACCGGCCGATTGTCTCGCGACTATCGTAAATAACTCTTCTGTGTCCGGTGCGTCAGCTCGGATGCCGAGTCACCGGCGACGGTTGGCGAAACCTGGCGTCATTGTCTAACTCCGATTCCCTAACTCAACACTCGGCTCTTGATGTCGGCTATCTTTTCTAACTAAAGCAATGATAAAGATGCATAGAGCCGCGTGCTATTGAATACGAACTATCGAGGATACAGTTTGAAATGCTCTCCGAGTGCGGTCCGCAGGAAGCAGCCTCCGCGCGCAGAATACGGATTAGCGTGACGTGTGCCAGCCGCGCCGTACCACCACCTACGAATACTGCTGGCTATATGCCACCGATAAAATATTATGCACTGTCCCAACATAATTTTCTTCCAGACGCATAAAAGCATCGTATTTATCAACGTGCAATTTGATCAATAATGTAGAGACGGCCTCAAAAGAAGCCTGGAATTGCCCGTCGGCTATGAATTCCAGCCGAGGTAGAAACAATGGACATATGTTATAAATAGGTGGAATAAATATAAAATGGTCGTTTCTTTGGTCTATTTTACTGGCTGAACGTTATGCGAGGGGTGCATTGAGGGCGGGTAAAGATCGAGCGAGGCCGTGGCATGGACGGACCCGATAGCATCGCTGCGCGGGCTATAAATAGCGCCGGACCCTTGAACCAGCCGCGCTCCGCGGTCGTCACTACAACCCTCCTAGGGCTACGGCTCTCCAGTTTTTGCGCACTATTATCGTTCAATTTACATAATTACCCCTATTGATTTATACTCTATAGTAAAAACGACTGATGTACTAGTAATGACCTCCTCGGAGACGGGTGATCATTTAACCTGAACACTTTTTGCGAGATTAGGTTATAATTATATCATAATTTTACCATACTCTACATTGATGTTTGTAATTAGCAATGTTTAGCCAATATTATGAAGAAACCCATCACCATCGGAGTTGTTTTCAAAGGGAAGTGTTTTTGTTAGCAACTAAAAGTTGCCATGCTGGTTTGAAGAGCATGTGAGCATTAAAAATATGCATCAGCCCTGGTAGTTGCTCTGGTACCGCAACAATCCACCATAAAACACGGCGGACGGTGTGCAGCTTCTCGCTTGTTCGCTTTCGTTCGCGCATGCGGCCAGCGCTTATTTTTTTCCCTGATTAGAGTAAAAGATGCGCAACCGGTCGGCAGGCGAAGGCCGCGGCAGGGCCGACGCGCGCCGGCCGCGCCCGCGCCTCGCCCGCCGCTCCTGTCCGCTAATGATGTGTCTCCACTGAACCACTCCTAATTGGACGGACGACCAACTACTCCAGGAAAAAATGCACACCAGGACCATTTCGCAGAACTGCGAATAGTCTGAGACGCAACAAGCAAACTTTGAATCATACGAATTATTAAATTCCACTGAAATTGTATGGTCCGTATTAAAGTGTCCGCAAAAAACGCCGGCCCTTATCTCTGGAATAATTTGTCGATACAACCGCCTCGTTTTCTGTTATCGAGATCTCTGAGGTGTGAATTTAAACGAATCACTTCTCAGGAACTTGGGAAGTCGCTGGGCGAGTATTTTTTGGTATTATTATATTTTCGGTTCTGTAGTTTAATGGTCACGACAGTAGCGAATAAGGTTAACATTGGCCTATATAGGTATTTACAGTTGAATCACTAAGTGCTTTCTTTGTCCGTTACGTATCTGGCTGAATGCGATTATGTCAGAAGCACGTACACTATAAGAATTGCCCTTTAATAACGGGAGAGCTGCAGTGAATTGTCGTAGATTGCAGACGCAGTCAAGTTTGCCTAGCTGTAAATAATGACACAATTCGAGACGTTGTTCTCTCTTAATCGACACGGCTTCTACGGCAGCATTCGTGGAACTTTAAAGGCTGAGGATTCTCGTCATAAACATTAAATAACATAGGGATAGAGCATAATGTAATATGCCTTTAGAATTAATATAAGTTTATGTACACCAGCGAAAGGACACCACTCATTCACTCAGACTCTACAGTAAATAACTTTTCACATAGGGACAGCTGAAATTTAAGTAGAAATTAGCAACAGGGCTGAATAATTCAGCTTCTCAATTATTGAGAAAAAGCTTTACTCGAAAATTAGTGTTTTCGGCTTATAAATATAAATTAAAAGGCATCTAGCAGTTTCTTATTATGTTATTAAGTTTCATATTTTTTCGAAAATCGTAAAGTTTGTTGTTGTTCCATTAAACAATACTTTAGAGTTGTATGAATAGGTAATAAAATTTTCATTATCATTGTTATGACAGTGTATAATATGCAATAATACAATGAATACACAGTGTAATTATAATTGGTCAGGAACGGAAGAGGCGACGATCAAGGTACCAGCTCAGGCGCGTGCTGCCCTCGTCTCTCACGCACTCGCGAAATTCCGACGTGGCCAGCCATTCATTGCGTTTAATAGCTTGTCATATTAAACTGTGCCTGCGCAGCTCTCTGTCGAGCGCCCAGCGTATAAGCGAATGCGAATGAATCAATTATCATTTTATAAAGGCACCGAAATAGCCCTCGATCGAAGCGGCCGCGTCGCCCATCTAACCAAACAACCGCTACAAACTCCTGCGTATTAAGTTGTAAATTAACGCGTCCTATGCCTCTACGCGTCCAATATACTGCTATTAAGATGACGATAACTGACTCTCGACCTGCAGACGTGTCATCTCGACGCACGTTCCTGGGCACCGTACGACGATAAACCTGTGTCGCTTTAGAGTTTCCTGGTTATCTCGGCTTATAAAGCGTTATATCTTGTTGCAGTCATCGATGCGGCCTGACTAATGAAGATTTGAATAGACGATGGTGTAAGCCGAGTCCCGTTTTGCATCCGTCTATTTACCATACTAAGGTAATATTCTGAACAATTCAATACACAGTTACCTACAGAAAATCTTTGCATTGAACCGATTATGATTTTGTAGAAAAGAAACAGCAGTAGGTATTGTTTTTTCTTTCAAATCTGATATTGCACTTCCAACATTTTGGCTTCGACTACAGTCCAAGGAACTTCTTCAGCCGACTCAGCCAGAGTCAGACAGTCAGTCAGAGTCATCAGTGGCTTCTGCTGGATCTGGCATTGTAATTAAGTAACTCTATATCAAAGATTTTGTTGAAATCTCGCAGATTCCTTGATATATTGATATATTCTTCCATTTTAGGGCCTGATTGAGTACCTGGTACGCGTTTGGAAGAAANTTGTTTGGAAGAAAAAAAAGTTTTATCTACATTGTTTAGCTATCAATAATTTATATTTAATAGTCAATGTTTCAAAATTTTTGATGCGCGAGGCCCCTTGTTCCGCGAGGCCGTAGGCGGTGGCCCACGTCGCCTACGCCTTACGCCGCCACTGCAGCCAGAGTCAGACAGTCAGTCAGAGTAGTCATCAGTGGCTTCTGCTGGATCTGGCATTGTAATTAAGTAACTCTATATCAAAGATTTTGTTGAAATGTCACAGATTCCTTGATATATTCTTCCATTTTAGGGCCTGATTGAGTACCTGGTGCGCGTTTGGAAAAAGCCGCCGCTGGTGTACTGCGACTACCACGGGCACTCGCGCAAGAAGAACGTATTCTTCTACGGCTGCGCGGCCGCCGAGAGCTGGTGCAGCAACGACCGCCTCGTGCAGGACGAGCCGGTCAAATACCTCGTGAGTTGAACGACATATTCACTGGCGAGTGATATGTTCGTAAGGGCCCTCGCCCACGGCGACATTTTTTAGCGATGCAGTCGCGCCGCTATAGCGTTAGTAGCGTGTTAGCAACAGTTCTGTAGTGCGTTGCAAATGCGACTAGCGCGCGTTAGTAGCGATGCTGTCGCGCGTTTACGAAATGCCGTGGGCGAGGACCCTAACGTGTTATTGGTCATGTCAGATGAAGTCCTTTTAGCAGTTCATCAATTACTTTTATGCAGTTAATCTTTCGGTAGACCTTAAAACAGATGATCAATTAGAAATTGAAAATATTTATTTTTCTCAAAACAGTTGATGATTTTCTTACATTTAACGGAGACTACGCAACTATTTCCCCCTGCAACTCCTATAGAAAGAAACTTGACCACCAATGAAACACACAAAATCGAATTCTATAAAAATCCGATGCCGAATGGTCCTTTGTCAATCTGCCGCAAAATATAAATGAAATCAATGTTGTGCACTCATGATAAATGGTGTGAAGGAACCACTCAAGTGTATAAAAAGCTCCAACCCATCAGATTCTATTTACGAGTAAGCTTTTACCCACAAAAAATATAAAAGGGAAAATAAAACTTTTACTTCTAAATTACTTTCGCACCTTAAATTACTCAATAAAAAATACATCCTTTCTTATAGAACTAAAACTAATTAGTGTTTTCACATAGATTCGTTCGTTAGTGTCTTATAAGATAGGTCATAACTTATTACTCCTCATTATTTAAAGTTTGCGACATAACTATTCATATTTGTTTTTTGTTTTGAGGATACAAGTACTCATTAATCATCCTAACAATTAATTAGGCGAACTCTAATCATGCGGAAATTGTAGGTTCTCAACCTTATTAGTACATTGCGACTCCTTGAGAAATTGCAAAAACGACTGGCTAAATACAATACGACAAACTTGCTATCTCACATAAATCCGCAAGTAAAATAAATGGACCGTTATAAAAGGCTACCATAAAGATAAGAAGACATTAGCGTTCGGATGGAAGTTGTAAGTTAAGTCCACTCTCCAGAATATTGGTGTTTGATAAAGTTGAGACGGTGTTTTGCGTCCATATATAGATGACCCACGCTGAACTGTCCCGCCAAACTCAATGACAGGGGGGCGCTACCATCGTTCAACTATATGGTTTCCAACATGGCAAAAATCTGAACCAGCGATCCGGTATTGACGGTGGCGCCCCACTGTCAATGTCATCGACAGGACAGTCCAGTATTTTGGAACTTTACGTCCGATCTCTTCAACCGGTATTCAGACATACGCTGTCATATTGACCAACATAAATTTTAAAAATGTTTTTCTAGATGTTGCCAGCTCTCATGCACCGGATTTCTCCTGCGTTCGCGCTGGGTTCGTGCTCGTTCCGCGTGGAGCGCGAGCGTGAGAGCACGGCGCGCGTGACTGTGTGGCGACACCTGGGTGTCACCCGCTCCTACACCATGGAAGCCTCCTTCTGCGGCTTCGATAGAGGACCCTTCAAGGTGAGCAGTGTAAACCTTGCAACACAAAGACTTGGTGTCTTGGGGTGAAGGGGGAGAGCGGGGCAGCTATCTTCCAACCCCTAGAAATTGGTGGCCTCTACATAACATAACGCAATGTTTCGACTCTAGGTGACAAAGCGCGCGAGAACCTTCCCTAAAAATTATTTAACAGTAATAATAGCTTAGTATGCATATTTTATGCTGCTTTTACACTATGCGGAAATTAGCCGAGTCAAGTCAAAAAAACAGAGGAGTGGGGATGAAATTCATTCATAATTTCCGCGCAGTGTAAACGCAGAATTAGAAATTTGAATTTGTAAATCGTACAATAAAACATTTATGTCATTCGCTATGCTACACTGGTAGATCCGTAGCCGTAGCCCATGGCCCATGGCCGCGTGGAGTGAAAATGCTTCGTTACCGTCTATTCCTCATAGCCTTTAACAGGGAAAATAGCTCATTATTATTGTATCGTAAGGCGGCATCTTCATCCCTGAGCCTTATCCTTTCACCGTGAAATTTTCTTATCCATCTGTAATGCGAGACGTTCCTATTATTACCGAACTAAACTTTTAAAAATAGATTTCAACATCCTTCATTCTTCAAGAATAGACGACTTGTTCGTGACCAGAATATTACTTAAATCTCGCCCGTGTAGAAGCTATAACGAAAATAATAAATATTAATAAGATTGCGAATAATAAATTATTATATTCTTTGGTCGTATAAGTAGGTATACGGGTAATTTTAAAATACCTGAACAAAACCTGAAATTGCCTATACTGGCTATCCTGCCTTCGATTTAAAATATGACGCTTATCTAGGCACTGATCAGCATTAGGTAGCTACTTTAGAATAATTTAATCCTATGTGTGTATAATTATATTATTAGCGCTCCAACTATCTTATCTCCACGTCAATCTCGATCCAAACGCAAACCGGCCTCGCCATCCCAACACTTGAGATATCCGTATCCTATATCCTACGCCAATTTAACTGATAAACTTTAATCATTTTAATAGGCAGCCTGCAACTTACACTTTTTTCTTGTTAGGTAAGTGTATAATTCTAACTTTGAAAACCAATCAATGTAAGTCACTTAAATAGTAATTGGATTCAGTCACTTTCAAGTCGTTTAATAAATGATACGCGTCCTACCTCACTTATCCAATTAGAAATGACGGCTTATCCAGAGATTAATGATAACGATACTTAGGTCCCAACGTCCAGGCTAATACATCTAAAAGTGTATGAGGCGTGCTCGCTATTAGATCCTCTGATTAGGTCGTGCTCGCGGTCGCTGTATCCCCTGCGCGGGCGACTAGGAAAGGCGCATTTTTCCTTTTAATGAATCCTCCACGCAATCGCGACCAGTTCCTGTCAAACATTTTCAAAAAAAGTGCGGTTGATGTGCTTTAACGACACGCTCCTCCCGAGTTCCCGACTATGTAACGGTCTGCCGCGCATGTCAACTTCGCAAAAACTCGCCAAGGCGTGCTTGAATGTTATTAGAACGAAAAGGCAATTAAATACGTATGTATCTACACAGTTGTTTCGTTTTTACTGCTTTTTTCTGCCTTGCAGGCTTTATTTTCCTCGAAATGTGAATTGCAGTACAATAAGAGCGCTGCACGAATAAGCTCATGTGTCATTATTACCATTACGACAAATTGCTGCTCTTTGACGATGATGCATGATTTATGGTGGGTACACAAAGAAATTATGAATTATTCCAACTGAATAAACAAAGAGACGGTGATTAGGTAACTCTACATACAAATACCCTATTTGTTGGAACGCTCCATGGTGAATCATTTCACAGAGTAGTGCGAAATAATCTATGGCTCGTAACTAAATAGTTATAGCTAGCTTTTATGCAGGTTTTGGATGCACTCTTGTGGTCGTGCATGACAATCAATCCTGCGCCCGAGTCGAAGGAACTACGGCCCTCTGTCCGACGTCGGAAATGAATATCGCATCATTGGCTGGAATGAATGATAATAATTTACGGTTCGCAATGTTAAAGCAACATTTTATAGTGAAAGCATTTGTAATTAGCTTTTATTTTATTATAGCTTTCTTGAAACATCTATTGTTTGATGACAGAATAATACCTGAGTATTATTTTATGTTTCTTAATTTAAGGTTCAGGAGATAAAAACGAAAGATTATCCATACCGTAGATATTATAAAATAAAAGGACAACATCATTCGGTAGAGATCGTTTTGTAACCTGCTAAAACACTGTTTCTCCATGGTTTTTATGGAAATACGCGATTGACGTCACTGTAGGTTTTGTTTTTCAAATTCAACAGACTGACCTAATAAAATTGATCACAAATCAAATAAAAATAGAATTAAAAAACAGGCCATAATTTAGAATCGACGCGTCTTTTTATGAGTTATTTAAAAAATATATTTTTTGCCGTCAACTTGTTCAGCACTCTACATTTTTGTTTCCAAATCTCGTAGCTATTCTATCGTAGCTGTTACAACTAATAAGATAACCATTATTTAGCTTGGTACCGTTGCCCGAACATAATATTGTAGGTAATTTATTGAATATGTGTGAAATGTTACTAAATACATTTTATTGTTATTGCCTAGGGCTTCCACCTCAACACGCAGCACCTACAAAGCGTCGGCAGCGATTTCTGCGAGGCGCTCAACGGCCTCAACGACACCGCCACCAATGTCGACATACAACTTACCAAAGATCTCAACGGGTAAGCACACATATTCTTTATAAAAGCTATACAAATATTCAAAATAGTGCTATATTTTTTTCCGACTTTCAAAGACTATTTTCCTGAAGAGCATCTGAACTTTTTTTTGATGTTACTCTTATTGCAAAAGTAGTTTAACATCAACTGATTCCGTGATTTAGGAACAGTTTAATTATACGGTTTTATGGTTATCGTCGCTTTAAATATGATATCTCTGGTATGGTAGATAAATCATTGCCGTCTCTGGAGTAGTGAGTGGAACAAACGCTCTAGGCGCTAGAATATCGAATGAGGTGCTAATGCCACACCATAAAAAAGGATGAAACCTAGTTTAATGTGAAACACAGGGGGACCGAAGAGTGTAGAAAGATAAACTCGATTAAGTTTTGTGAACAACTTACATGAAACTGAGACGTCATAATAGAAGCACTCAGTTGATATTTTATTTTTTGCATTCATAAGGAGCGATTGATATTTCCTCAGGTTGAACAATAGGTATGTTAAATGTAAAATGTTTTCAACAGAAATATAATTGAAGTTAGTTTGGTTGACCTCGGAGCAGACAGGCAAGTTTTATGTGGTTTGAAACCATGTGGCACATAATTTGGCTAAGCTTTTGTTAATTACTTAGACCTATAGCCATTCGACGACTAATAAGATATCTGTAGATAATAAGCCACACATTTGTTTTATGCTTAATGAATCGCTAGCTTATTGTTATATATTAGTAATATCCGTCCATACCTAAGCTACGCGTATCATTAAAAAATTCTAACATTTCGTAACATACTTCATTACATAAAAAACATAGTATAATTTTTAATCATAGATAGGACAGAGTAATTGTGTTTGCAAATAACTAATCATGATAAATCTTATATGATTTCGACAACTTAATAATTCGAATAATCTTACTTGGGTCCGTTAATTTTCCCAATGATAAGTATACCTATAAGAACAACACCAAAGAATGAAATATTAAGAAATGCAATAATTACTCAATCCCATTCACCAGTTTCTTCAGCTTGCATGATCAAATCCTCGGTTTGACTAATAGCACCAAATAATCTGTTGTGCAGTGAGATAGCGGTGGACAGCGAGCCGGGCTCGGGCTCCGACAGCGTGCTCAAGACCGACTCCGACGAGGACTTCGACTAGGCTTCGGCCATAGGTAGAATAAGACTAGAAAAACTATGTACTACAAACGTAACCCGAAACCTAGAACTTAAACCCATTGAAATTATGGTTATTCCAATCATACAATTAAGATAGAGGAATACAATTCCAACATATTTGGTTTTATAATCACATCACTTTATCAGCAGAGGTTTATTTTTTAAACTTTACTTTATCTATTTTCTTATGGATTTTTATTGCGTATTATATTTAATTTTAATATTACCATATTTATTTTATGTACAAATTAGTCTGTGTGCTGTGTGCGCCTGTGATCCTTAGTTTGTTTGGTTTGTGATAAATTAAATTTATTAAGTTGCATGTGATCTCAATTACAAATAAATTATGAAATCACCGAAAGCTTTTTTATTATTCACCCTTTCTTAACGCACGGCGGACATCCATATAAATTTGTAGGGGGGCATCTAAGTAACTTTCGAAGGCCTACCTAACTTCCGAAAACCTCACACTTATATTAGAAAACCTAACACTCCAAAATCTAACAGGTAACTTAGGAAAACTCAGTTCAAAAATCTAAAACTAAAGTAAGGTTTTCTAAAAAACCTAATTCTCGAAAACCTAACTCAAGATAACTTTCGCAACCGTTAGATTGATTTGTTATGAGTACATATTTATATTATTACGAGATATTTTACCAGCCAAAGAAGACTACTAGTTTTGATCGCATTATATTTTATTGAATAAAATTCTCATACCACTTTCTCTATACATGCTTTTCAAAATTATTTCTTGATCGACTAAATAAATGTATTCGACCAAGCGCCGAGACGACTAGATAGCACGAAGCATGACTCGACTGGTCACGTTCAAAAATTAATCTTGATATCGACGTTTATTTCTCATGGCTATGGACGTGATAATGTCGGGATTATAATCAAAGCTAAGCCTCCATATTTCATTTGTAGGGTGTCGTCTACATTAGGTCCGCTTGAACTACTTTATAAATCTCTGGATCAAAAAGATAACTCTTACAATTAAAAAAAACTTATGATACAATTTAACCGTGTTCACATTGATCAATAATTGTGCACATTGTAGACGATGAAGCATTGAAATACACTTATCGATATCGATGTTATTACGGCAATATTCAAGTCCAAATAAAAGAAATAGTTTTGAAAAAAGTTATATATTATCATCTCAAAACTCAATATATTGTCATTATCAACAATGAATCACATTTACATGTAGTTTATAAATAATAATTTGCACTAATTGCACCTCAACAAAGATATCGTCTAGATATTGGCAAAGACAATTCTCTAATTGTTTTTTATAAAGTTTATACAATGTTTTTCCACTTTGTCTTACTCCTACGAAATTATCACATGTAATAATTATGAGTAAAATCTAAAATGATTGTGATGTAACTTAATGCAAAGTTTCAAACATAACTCGTTGATTGACAGTATTTTTATAAATAGTTGTGGGCGGGTATTAAACTTATTTCGTGACGCTAATAAAATTAATACAATAATGTATTATAGCAATCATACACGAATATGATCTACATAATATAGCGTATGACATACAACAATATATATTTATTTATGTTACTATATACAATACTGACAACGATTATACCTAAAAAAATAGTAAATACAAATTCAATTTGTTCTCCGGAGATTTGTCTTGATTATAACTAAATTAAATGTGTCGTGTGTAGTACAAAAAGTGTTATAATTAAGCTATCTAATTTGTTCTTAGTACGCTATAAATGTATTACATTTTCTACTATAAATTATTCAATGGTATCAAAAGCATTCCTGAAATTAAACTTAGTTGAGCTGACTGATGGGCAGTTAAACAATGTTAGATGTTAGTAGTAGGAACAAATTATATTATTTAGCATACAGGTTGTTAACCATGTAGGGAGGTGGGTTTTTACAATTTGAAGAAAAAACAGAATAAAAGTTATCACTTCTTACTAACAATTGTTTGAAGAAAATATATTTTATGAAGTTAACAAAAACAATTGTTTACCAGATAAAATTACCGGTATATCTCAGTATTCTACCCAAATGCAAAATGAAGGGTACATTTGCCAGCAATCATAGATCGCTGTGATGACTTATTTAAAATTATTATAAGTGCAGATAAACATAATTGTTCGTTGATCAATTGTGCTACAAAAAGTATTTACAGCTTAGATTAACTGGAAGAGCTAAGCAATTAAAATTATGGAATTTTTAAGCAAAAATTTTAAATATGAGGAGACCGAAAAATAATTGAGTGAGAGATTACGAATGTACGAACTTTAACATAATCAGATACATGGTCCCCGATAAGTCGCCGTTCGGCTACGACTCGAAAGCACATTGAGAAGGAAAAGTTTGAATTTATTATTACTCAGAGGAGGGAATCAATTATAATGTCTCTACATTGAGAAATAGTAAATAATGTTAACAATTGCGGTCAAAAATGCAAAACCACATGAAAGTTGTACTACTGACGCCTATATCAACTTCTTGCACACTAATTTCGTAAGTTCACTTTACATAAGTGAAATGTGATGATCTACAGGTGTGATAGTTTTCTAATTACTTACTTTATTGACGTCTCTAATAAGAAATAAAAAGAACATGTGAATTATCAGTATCAACGTCAACGTTTGGTCGCACATTTGTCCATTTCGAAGCAGTCGAGTCACTGGGAAGCGACGACAGTGCGTACAAGTCACGTGCCGGGTCATCATAAAAGCATATCCGCGGATTATCGTATCTGGGTTTTTTACATAATCGGCGCGTTTGGCATCTGGCCAGTAGGCCTAGGATGCTCACCGAGATAAGCGTTTATCACGCCATTTTATCGATTTTACGTGATAAGCCCATACATTTGTCGTCTAAAATCATCGATCAATTTTATCACGGCGCGCATCCTAGCCCGGCTGATCGCGATCAAATGAAAATAGGAGTTATGCTCGTTCCGTAAAAGTAACGTATACAGTCTTTTTGCCCGACTGCGCCAGAAGGAGGGTTATGTTTTTTCGAGTGTGTTTTACCTTACTATCAACGGCACACCACTGTACGCACTCACTCTGTCAGTATGAGCGTGCGGTCCTTACTGTAGAGGACGCGCAGACGCGCGCGGCGGGGTCATTGCGCGGGCGCGGGCGGCGCGGGCGGGGCGCGCGCTCGGGCCGGCTGACGCCGCTGGCGGGCCAAGAAGGAGTGACCAGCTGATAGGAGCGCGAAACGCGTTTCAACCGCGTCCCTGTGGCAGCGAGCGCCTAGCTGGTACCACGCGGATGCTAGGAGACGCTGCTCGTTGTGGCCTGCCCGCGCGCCTTCGGAGCTCGCGCTGCCGCTGCCGCTCCCACTCCATCTACAAGGGTGATAAAGGATTTAGAATTTTAAACTGTGGTCATAAACGTCATCCAGCGTCAATAACGACACACGTTCGCCGCGTCACAATGCTTACTAGTGTCTACGCACGGACATTGCCCGCGGGCGGCGTGACCGGAGGCAGCAGCGAGCGGGCGGCGAGCGTTCGGCGAACGAACGAGCAATGTTCGGTTCGCGAGCGAGCATCCACGAAGACGACCCGGAAGCACTCTCTTTAACGACTTTGCACTAAACGGTCTCATCTTGTTAGTGTAAATTTATATCGAATAGAGTACTAATTTTATAGTGTCCCTCATTATTTCATTTATTAACTTCCATTACACGTACTATCGAAGTAACATATAGAAATGTACTGTTGTGGTATCTTTCACACGCTTACATCAACACACTAAAATATTATTGACGCAATTTTGTTTGTAATATTCTTTACGTGCAAGAGGTACAAATGGATGCAAAATAAATACTCACTCGTGTCGATTGTGCGCGGGAGTGGCGTCAGCTCGGGACGGCGCGGCGCCAGCGCCTCGCGAGTATCCCAGCGTGATGTCAGACAACGATGGCTGGCCTGCACAGCAACAAAATTGAAATTAAATTAAAAAGGTGGTATGCAATCCTGTATTGATCAGGTACACAATAAATAAATAAATAATCTTTGGACAATTTCACACAGCGCCAGCTAGCCCCAAAGTAAGCAACTTAATGCTTGTGTTATGGGTGCTAGCTTAACGGATATACTACTTATATACTTTTTTTTTTTAAAATACATAAATATTATACATAGTCACACCCAGACCCGTCACAGAAATTAAAATTCATCATTTCAATTTCTGCCCGGCCAGGAAACGAACCCGGGACCTCTCGGCATAGTAGTCCGTTCTGAACCACTACACCAAACGGCCGACAATGTATTATCGAAGAATATACCGTGACATGGACCCTATAAGGCTGGTTTCAGAGTCATGCGTTCGCCAACGCAAATGATACGCAGCGGGAGTCACGAGCTAAGTGATGCCTTGAACCAATCCATATTGAAAACTGCCCACTATAGTACGTACAGTCAGCGTCAAATAGTTTGTGACACCCAAAGTTCCAAAGAGTTCGCAACACTTTGCTATAAATGATAAGGTTGCGTTATCAACTTTTAGGCCACTGTGTATGTACGAGCACGATCGTACATCCTGCTGCACTTTCAGCATCGACCGCCGGGCGACCCATGAGCCCTCAGCGTGCACCGTCGGCGCTCTACACCGACGGCACACTAGCAAATACGTTTCATTGTGTACAGTAAATAACTTACGTATAAATAGCAATAGAATCATAACAATAAACAGATATCAACCGTCCGTCGTTGTGTCTCATTTCCCCCCGCTGCGGCCAAGACACCCTTAGCCGTCACTATGATCAGTCCGGTGAGTCTGCCGGGCTGGCAGCGGGTCCCCGCCGCCTACCTGCCGTCCTAACGCTGCTGCCCTGGGCGACCCGGGAGCAGCTTCCTTCCTATCAAACCCTTATTATGTCTAAGTATCTATTGTTAGGCAGGGCTAGGGCTCTAGGGACTTAGTGTCTTAGGGAATAAGGACTCTAGGCTCACTAGGGAGTTAGCTTCCTTCCTGACCGCATATCCCGGGCACGGGAGCGGTGCCTTACAACCACTGCCTCCCGCCCGAACAGTGTCGAACTATTTGACGCTGACTATGCTCTCATTGTTTGCAGTACAAACGCGCGCTTAGGTGTTGCACCTCACTGTCATAACTCACCGGTCGCGCGGGGGTCCAGCGACTTGATGACCTCCTTGGCCTTCTCGACGCACTTCTTGTACTTGTCCTCGGTGGCCAGTAGCTCGGCTTCTCGCGCCGCTAACGCCTCCTGTAACTTGCTGCTCCGCCGTCGCTCTTCTGATAACGCTGCTTGGAGCTCCTCCACTTGTAATGCTGGGAAAATCATCAACATCATCATTATTAGTTCAATTTTAGGAGCACGACCCTATGGAATTCACCAGAAGATAGGCGGAGATTATATTCGGAATTCACTATACACTAATTCACTATTCCCACCTCTCGTTCCCACCGCTGCAACTCCTGTGTAGCCATGATCTACAGCTTGACCGCCATAAAAACCGAAGGTCAAGTTTGTCCCGGGGGAAAGTTAAACTGTCATTGGACCCGCAACTAAATTAATCAGAAGAATATAGAGGAGTTCGAAGAAGGTTCGACTTCCCTCCATTGCAAAGCGGATGACATGTGACAAAGGTTTAATTTAATGACCTTAACTATAGTGGGCACAATTTGCATGCCCACATTGTGGGCCAGGCTGAGGGCCCCACAACCTTATTGTGACATCACACTTTTTGGTGACGAGACGGTGATGACATTTGGGGTGATTGTGATGTGCCCACAACCTTTTTTGAAGACAAATCGAGGATTTGAGGGTTACACTCCCCACACTAGATAAAAAGGTCCCGAGGCGTCCTGATGTTCGATTATTTTTTTCCCTCTTTTAACATTAAACGGGAAGGAACAAATCCGGATTTTTTTGTAAATAGGTACATACATAAAAAACATAAGTGTATACTAACATTTCCTCTGGCTGTCCTCGATGGCGGAGGCGAGCCGCGGGTGCGGCGCCTCGAGCGTGGCTTCCAACTGCATGATGCGCTGGTTGGCCTCGCGGTTCACGGCGCGCTGCTTCTCTAATCGCGCCGCGTAGTCTTCCAGTAACGCCTGGTGACGAACACGTTGTTAGCGACGCGATTAGCAAGAACCTTTATCGTGTTAGCTATTAGACTTCTTGATTTAGAATGAACCTTTTTGGTGTTAACAATTAGTGACTCCTAGATTTTAAAAAATATAATATTTGATTGACTTGTGAGCTGTCTAAGGGTTCATTGAACTTTTGTCATGGTTTTTGCATTGAACAATATTTATTTAAAATACAGTCCATTTTGAAGAAACGGCTTTTCATTTATGAACTGCAAGACATCCACCGCCAACACACGTTATTTATTATGTCAAGGAAATTATTTGCCGGCTTCTACCATGTTTCATCAACTAACAACCCAATGTACATATGTGGTTTGTTATAAGACGCCATTTTGGACAACAAAGTTATGATTTGAATTATTTTATTTCTAATGATGACAAAGCTTGTTTATAATAGCGATAAGTCCAATAATGTCGAAATCGGACTGGCCGAATAGAGATCTAAAGAACGCAGGTTCGAACTCTGCCGTCGCTGGATTATAGTAGTGAACCCACTCGTAAAACAAGCATCTTAAGCTTACCACGAGAGATTAACAATTATTTCCAAAAATTAGGGTTTCGTGAGCTTTGCATATAACAGTATCAAATAAAATTAGAAATAAGAATAAAGTTTGTTCAGATCATGATGAAATTGGTGATATTTAATACTTGTTAGACGATATCTACCGGTCCTCTCAAACGGAGTTCTTGAGAGAACTTGAAATGATGTCGCACTATTTTTTTCATTTGCCTTTTGTTGAATTTACTCATGCATGTTTACGGACACTAACATGTTAATAAATCTACAATTAAAACACAAATATTAAGTTAAACAATAATTAATACGTGATGATTCACATGCCAGATTTATTATACACTCAAAAGTTATTCAGTTAAAGACATTTCGTGTTGATTTTGAATAAAAAATCAACACGAAATGTAAACTGCTTTCCAACTGTCAAAAGATTAGAAAACGATTGCGTCTGGCTGTTCAAATATTTGAGTTATAGCACGATAATTTCGCTTATTAACGTTTAAATCGAATTGTGCGATAAGGTGTGAAACATATTTTATTATCGAAATTATACCAATTAAAGATTTATGTGGCAGTAGCATACAGAAAAAAGTCACAAATTGCATCTTAAAATACTTATTTATTTATTTATATTAGGGAAACAAACAATTTTGATACACAGACAAAAATCACCAAAGTTACTTTATACTTTGAAATAATTTACCATGTCCACTGTCAGTCTCTAAGGGTAGGTACCTATTGGATTGTGGCCGGGGTTGTTCTGGCTACCTCAATAGAAGGTGAAGATATGATCATGCCTCATTAATCATACCGCAGTAAGTTTTTGTGGAGTAACGTATCAAAAAGTTGTCTATGTTAGTTAAAACGTTCGCGACGAGCAAAACTGAAGTTATAGCACAGAATAATAATAAGTACTACGTATAGAAGTTTTACTTCGCGAAGGTATTTAACCCGGCGTCAATGACGCTGGGTCATATTGACCCGAGGCATTTTCAAACGTTCATTTTTTTTTTTTTTGCGTCCATTTTATGGTTCGAGCGTTCGTATAGCTGGAGATAGAACCTCCCTAAATCCATTCCGTTAGTTAACGTATTGTGACTCCGCTTGCGTAGCGAGATACACAGGCTTCAAATTAAAACGGGTCATTATGACCCGGCGTCATCGGTGGCGCGGTGATTTTGTGACTTACTTTTATTCGCTTATTTTGTGTTTAGTGCTAGCTTATGTGGTTCTTTTTTAAGTTTTAGTCAAAATGTCTTTGTTAAATGACCCAGCAAGAATGTAGCGTTGCTAGAAGAGTCGAATTCCAAGATTGAAGAATTTCAGGCTGTAATAGCCAGAACTTAGAAATGGCAACGAATGTGAAAAAGATGCAAGTAATGGGGACTCAGTCTTTGGATAATCTCGAACTTGCATTAGTACGACGCCGGCAAGTGCGTCATGCCACATTTACATGCCCATACCATTTGATTGCATACTGCACCAGTTGCAGCAGTTCCATGGCTCTGAATGATGAAGTAGAAAATTGATCTCATTGTATCTGCATATAAAAAGTTGATTTTATCTCTTTTTCACTATATAACATTGTTGATTCCCATTTTTACTAAAAATGTTTACCAAAAACCAAAAATATAGACTCAAATGTATTTCTATACGTGATTTTTTCATGTTTTGCTTATCAATTCATAAAAAAATATTTATTTCATGTATTCGTTTTATTTTTGTTTTATTAGCTCAGTAAAGAACCCTTTATACATAGACAGTAATTAAAATTAAGATTACTTGTACAATTTCCTGAAAAATGATCGATGAAATGTGGGTCAATATGACCCGGGGTCATCGTCTTTGCAATTATTTTCACGTCATTGGCGCCGGGTTAAAAAAATGTATGCTCAATGTCATTAACAATATGGTGTAATTTAGCCTGTCTCAAGAGTCAAGCACCATTTTGTTGACAAACGTCAGTGATCGGCACTGCGCCGAAGCTATAGNTCAATTACCCACAACTGAAACGAATAACTGTCAATTTTTATTCCTAGAAGCATAGACCATATCTATTGGCTACGACTTGCATCAATCAGAGCACTGCATCTTTTCTCGTGTTAATGTGTATAGCCAAATTAAAACACACAAAAAAGTGGTACCATATGGGACCGCTAGTCTATAATGGGTTAACGAAATAAATAATGAAATCTGATTGGTTACTCTAAAACACTTCTCTGCTGCGCTCTGCTCCGCCTTGGTTGAAACTGGGCCATAAACGGCCCCGAGGCGATCAATCGCGATTGTCAATTTTACGTGATTTACAATTGACATTGATCGTTTACAAAACGCATTGAAGCGATTGTCAATTGAATTTACGTGACAGGTGCCATTGAAGCTAATATTGATCGTTTAGCTGAGCAATTTGACAATCGTTTCCATCAATTGTCAATAACGTAAATACATTGACAATCGCAATTGACCGTCTCGGGGCCGCTTTACATTCCCAGAGCCCCCAGTAGGTTAGAAACAGCCCTTACGACTAAACTCACCTGCACTGAAGCTTGGTCTGCCTGCGCGCCTTGGTTCTGTCGCAGAAGCTTATTTTCGTGTTCTAGTCGAATCAGCTGTTCCTTCACGTCGTTGGGTATCAACTCGCGCGACACGTTGTCTTCGCTTGCACCTGAAAAAGATTCGTAGACAATGTAATATTGATATGCATTGTAAAAAGTTAGTGATTCTATTTGTCTTTATCATTAAATATTATAAGAAAAAAACTCGTTCTCTATCTTGGTTGGTGGTAGGGTTTTTTTAAGTCCACCTGGATAGCTACCATCATCTTACAGTAGTGGTCTGTTCCGGCAGCAAAATAGCCAGTTCTTCTGTGGTTGAAGATTCCATGTGAAGCTCACTTCCACCTTCAGCCTGATCTTCACTTTCCATCAGGTGAGATACAGGCCAAGAGCTTCCATGTTGTGGATAAAAAAAACTCGTTAGAAATATAGATTTGGTAATAATAGAGCTGTCTCCCTCAGCGTGTCCCGCTCTTGCAGTATGGTGTCCCGCTCGCGCTGGAACAACGCTACGCGGCTGCTCAGCTTTAGAACAGGAATGTTCTCTATCTCTATGTCGTTAGAGTGTACCTGTGGTGATAGTAGAGCAGCGCAGCTCATCGACTGTTTCCCTCAGCGTGTCCCGCTCTTGCAGTATGGTGTCCCGCTCGCGCTGAAACGACTCTACGCGGCTGCTCAGCTTCAGAACAAGAATGTTCTCTATCTTTATGTCGATAGAAGTGTACCTGTGGTGATAGTACAGCAGCGCAGCTCGTCCATTGTCTCGCTCAGCGTGTCCCGCTCCTGAAGTATGGTGTCCCGCGCGCGCTGGAACGACGCTACTCGGCTGCTCAACTTCTTGTCTCAATTCTCTATCTCTATGTCGTCAGAAGTGTACCTGTGGTGATAGTAGAGCAGCGCAGCTCATCGACGGTCTTCCTCAGCCTGTCCCGCTCCTGCAGTATGGTGTCCCGCTCGCGCTGGAACGACGCTACGTGGCTGCTCAGATTCGGAACAGGAATGTTCTCTATCTCTATGTCATCAGAATTGTACCTGTGGTGATAGTAGAGTCCCGCTATTGTAGTATGGTGTCCCGCTCGCGCTAGGACTATGCCACGCGGCTGCTCAACTTCTTGTCTCTATCTCTATGTCGTTAGAAGTGTACCTACCTGTGGTGATAGTAGAGCAGCGCAGCACGTCGACCGTCTCCCTCAGCGTGTCCCGCTCCTGCAGTATGGTGTCCCGCTTGAGCTGGGACGCCACGCAGCTGCTCAGCTTGTGCCCTATCTCTATGTCGTTAGAAGTGTTCCTGTGGTGATAGTAGAGCAGCGCAGCTCGTCGACCGTCTCCCTCAGCGTGTCCCGCTCCTGCAGTATGGTGTCCCGCTTGAGCTGGGACGCCACGCAGCTGCTCAGCTTACCCTCTATCTCTATGTCGTCAAAAGTGTACCTGTGGTGATAGTAGAGCAGCGCAGCTCGTCGACAGTCTCCCTCAGCGTGTCCCGCTCTTGCAGTATGTATGGTGTCCCGCTCGCGCTGGGACGACGCCACGCGGCAGCTCAACTGTCCTTTATCTCTATGTCGTTAGAGTGTACCTGTGGTGATAGTAGAGCAGCGCAGCTCATCGACTGTTTCCCTCAGCGTGTCCCGCTCTTGAAGTATGGTGTCCCGCTCGCGCTGAAACGACTCTACGCGGCTGCTCAGCTTCAGAACAGGAATGTTCTCTATCTCTATGTCGTTAGAGTGTACCTGTGGTGATAGTAGAGCAGCGCAGCTCGTCGACCGTCTCCCTCAGCGTGTCCCGCTCCTGAAGTATGGTGTCCCGCTCGCGCTGAAACGACGCTACGCGGCTGCTCAGCTTCTGAACAGATATGTATTCTATCTCTTATGTCGTTAGAAGTGTACCTGTGGTGATAGTAGAGCACCGCAGCTCGTCGACGGTCTCCCTCAGCGTGTCCCGCTCTTGTAGTATGGTGTCCCGCTCGCGCTGGAACGACGCTACGCGGCTGCTCAGCTTCAGAACAAGAATGTCCTCTATCTCTATATCGTTAGAGTGTACCTGTGGTGATAGTAGAGCAGCGCAGCTCGTCGACTGTCTCCCTCAGCGTGTCCCGCTCCTGAAGTATGGTGTCCCGCTCGCGCTAGGACGATGCCACGCGGCTGCTCAGATTGTTCTCTATCTCTTGGTCGTCAGAAGTGTACCTGTGGTGATAGTAGAGCAGCGCAGCTCGTCGACCGTCTCCCTCAGCGTGTCCCGCTCTTGCAGTATGGTGTCCCGCTCGCGCTAGGACGATGCCACGCGGCTGCTCAGAATGTGCTCTATCTCTATGTAGTCAAAAGTGTACCTGTGGTAATAGTAGAGCAGCGCAGCTCATCGACTGTTTCCCTCAGCGTGTCCCGCTCTTGCAGGATGGTGTCCCGCTCGCGCTGGAATGACGCCACTCGGCTGCTCAACTTCTTGTTCTCTATCTCTAATTTGTCAGCCTTCGTTATCTCTGCGTCCAACTTTTCGTTTAGATCTGTCACCTAAGGAGAGACAAACTATTTATTAGAGACCCTTGATCTTTTATACATTACAGATTTTTTACAAATCACGATGGGATTTAAATACGTTATATGATCTCAGATGGGACAACGCATAGCATAAAATCACACTGTATATTTGTTTCCACTCAATCTGAATGTCTGAAAAATAATTAATCCAAACTCGGTAAAGAGTTCTTTAAATCTGACACCAGTAGGACTAAGATGCGCGCCGCGATAAGCGGTTATCACGCCATTTTATCGATTTTGTCCATACTTTTTGACGTCGATAAAAGTTATCACGGCGCGCATCTTAGGCCTACAGGACAGGAAGGTTTTCTGGCAAAAAAACTTCAGTACAGTAAACTTCGTAGTAGTGACACTCTATTTTCCTTAATGTGTTTATTTGGTACAAGTTTGTACCTCAGTTCGTCGCTTGCCTCTCTAACTGACGTATCTGACATTTTTTTTTCGAAACTGATTTATCTACACCATCTTAATCAATTTTGCAAGACGAATCGATCTGTCTAATCACCTGAAAATTTTGCTAAATGTCAGTTATGTCAGTTACGTCAGTTAGAGAGGCAAGCGACGAGTTGGCACAGAGGAAGATGAATAACAATCGTATAATATAGCAAGTTTGTCGCCACATACCTGCTTCTTGTAGATGTCAAGCTGCGCGCGCACGGCGTTGTGTCGCGCGGCCGCCTGCTCGTGCTCGATGGCGCGCTGCACGTGCTCCGTGTTCGCGCGCTCCAGGAGTTTCACCTGCACACGCATAGTGTTACTATACCACTGTCTTCCGTCTCACTCGTAGATGGTGTAAGCGATTGCGACAGATATAACCAAATACTCAAAAGGCGTGGCTTAACTTGGATACGCCCATATTAGTCGACCACTCGTCTTCTCACTAATATGATACGCCTGCGATAGGTAAACCCAAATATAGAAAGTACTTACTATGTTTCTTATTCTAAACCTTTTGATGCCCAAAATTTCGCGCACGGTTATGGTTTTATTTGGAGTTATAATGTGTATAGTTGCTGTTCCCCGTAGGTCTAAGTTGAGCCTAACTTCGAACCCTACAGGAGATTTAACGTACTAAATCCCAAGATAGTCTCGGGATCCCGACATTACATATCAAATGGTTGCCAAATAATTTAAGACCAATGACAGGTCGCGCGACCCATGACAGTCCGCGCGACCTGTCATTGGCCTATGATCGCGCCGGCGATGGCGATCTGCACGCTTTGGTGTAGTTGAAGCATTATAGAATATAGCAAAATTTTTTTTTATTCATCCACTCGTACAAAATGAAACCAGTCCAAATGTATGGTCGACGCACCTGTCTCCGCAAATCCACGTGCTCCTCCATCCGCTTCTTGTAGGAGGCGACGGTGGCCTCGAGCGCGGCCGCCTTGGCCGCCGTCTCCCGCAGCGCGTCCACCTCGTCCTTTAGCGTCACGTTCTCCGATGCTGCTATCTGAATGGAAAATGGGATACGTGAATGAGTTGGCAAAACGATAAAGGATGCTAATGCCTGTTTTCACCATCAAATCCTAATTTGTAAGAAATAACAGGAATTTTGTTTACGTAGGGGTTACTTAAAAATTAGGAATTGATGGTGAAAACGAGCATAAGTCTACTACTATTATTGCAGTGACCATAGAGAAGATATTGCAGTTGAATGTATGGTGCTGGGATAAAATCATTAATGCTAAGTAGTGTCGTCTTTATACAACAGTTACTGTTGATGTGATGCCTACATCGGGTGACATTCAAACTAAAGGGTGTAGTCTCATCCTGGATATTATCGCTCCAGCCTCACAACCTAGGATCTTATCGATATTTTTACTTACTTACTCTACACCTCTACGCTGCTTGTTCAGCTATTCCGTGAAGACATCCAGTTGCGAACTCACGTTAAATAGCTAAATCTGCTAGAAAAAGTTTATGCCAAAACCCCAAATTAGATGTCTCACCTGTAGCTCCTCGTTCCTAAGCTTCAGTAGAGCTACTTCCCTCTAGAGTGCGTCTTATCGAGCTCGTCCTTCAGCGCATCAAGTTGCGCGCGCATGTTGCTGTACCGCAGCGTGCCGGCGTGCGCGGGCCCCAGCGACGCGCCCGCGGCTACTTTCAACAGCTGTTTATGTGACGCGCCTCCAGGTAACATACACACTAGAGTCGTCTCTTCTTGGATGTCGCTCCACCTAGGATCTTATTGAAATTACTTACTCTACACCTTTGTCAGATCCTCTTGCAAAGCATCTAGTTGCTAGGTCACGATTTACAGGCCTAACATCCTACAAAAGACTTACTTACAAAAATGATTTATCTCACCTGTAGCTCCTCGTTCCTAAGCTTCAGTAGAGCGACTTCTCTCTCAAGTGCGTCAGCGCGCGCGCGCTGATCATCCCTCTGTAGCTCGACTTTATCGAGCTCGTCCTTGAGCGCGTCGAGCTGCGCGCGCATGTTGCTGTACCGCAGCGTGCCGGCGTGCGCGGGCCCCAGCGACGCGCCCGCGGTACTTTCAACAGCTGTTTGTGTAACGCGCCTCCAGGTGACATTCACGCTAGCGTCGTCTCTTCCTGAATGTCACTCCAGCTTCACAACCTAGGATCTTATCGATATTACTTACTCTATATCTCCTGATTGTTTGATCAGCTACTCCGTGAAGGCATCCAGTTGCGATCTCACGTTAAATAGCTAAATCTGCTAGACAAAGTTTATGCCAAAATCCTATATTAAGTGTCTCACCTGTAGCTCCTCGTTCCTAAGCTTCAGTAGAGCGACTTCTCTCTCGAGTGCGTCTGCGCGCGCACGTTGATCATCCCTCTGTAGCTCGACTTTATCGAGCTCGTCCTTGAGCGCGTCTAGTTGCGCGCGTGTTAGTATATTTATATGTACATACCTGATTTATATTAATATTCCATGGTAAAAATGTATAATTGGTACACTATTTAACTTGTTAAACACTACACACACAAAACATTGCACAGCCGCCATATTAACTGACA